TTGTCATGTGCTAAAGAAATCTCTGGCCAGCTCTTGTTGTATCTTTTTAGCATTAAGCCTTCGTTACTAATTATGCATTAACTTACTATTTTGTAGTAAGTGGTACAAAAACTTGGTCTTTGATTCTTTTCATGTAATACTTCCTTATACATTCATTGCACTCTTTTTATTAGATCTGAGCTGTCTTCTCTGTTTGTAGGAAATTTTTCTTAATTTCCTGTCCTTTCCCCTGTATTGCTTATTTTTTAAAGATCTTGTCTCAGCCACTTCCTTCTTCCAGTCATGAAGAATCACTTTTTAAATTTTTGATATTTGTAAAATTTGGACATATGTTTTTAAGAGATCTTAGCTCTGTCTTTGTTGTGATTTTAGGTAAGGAGACTTTGATTTATTACTCTACAATATTTTTCTCGGTGTAATGCTTCCCAATTTGGCAAATCCTTTTTAGTGGGGCTATGTGTCGAGCGACTTAAGGAAACACCTTAGCTTTACTATCTTTCTTAAGCTGTATTAAGCAAACTTTTTACTTGGCAGCATTCCAGTTCCAATAGTGACTTTATAGTCTGCTTGTTTCTAAAGCTTTTCAAGTATTCTTCAGAAATACTAGGGGGCAACATTTATTAACCAAACAACCCCCAAGAAACTCTTTGTTCTACTCTATTGTAGTGCCACACAGTTCTTCACTGGCTTATGAAAGTGATACATGAACATGTGGAAAAAAACCACGATAAACAGTTAGTAGGTTTTTTAGAAAATCTTCTACAAATCTGATGGATTCAGATAAAGCTAAAGATAATTAGCAGATAAACATACACATTAAGGGGTATTAAAAAGTGGTTGCTTTTTCAAGACTACTGAGTAGAGTGATGTTCTACTTCAGATTAGCACATCTGAAGACCTGATACATAAGCAGAAGTCAGAAGAGTCCAGACTCTTCTATATGGTAGCTTATTTAACATTCTGGGAGTCCATACCTGCAAATTCAGTCTTCAGGATAATTTTACCATTTATATGTGACACATGCACAGTGTCAGAGGCCGAGATAAGTTCACTGTGAAGTTTAGCTTTGAGCTTCTTGGAACTTAGAATTTAGAATTTTTATTGCAGAATGAAAGCTAATATAACATGCAAGTAGTCAACTAGCTGCTGAAGGCCCATAGTTTCCTACCTTCAGAAATTATGCCAACGGATAGTGATATGGAAGAACAGTATTTCTATTCTCGTTCTTTCCCTCCTCCCACAGTTTGTAATAGGACTAAACAGCGATTGCTCTACTAAGTGCCATTATTACTAACCTCTAGAATAAGTTTTTTTCTTACATTTTTATGTTAAAAGAAATGTCATTACTTTTCTTTGAAAGGCACTGTTGGCTAACAGAAAGGATTAACTTTGAGTTCAGGTCAGGCAGATTGAACATGATGAGTAAGATTTTTAAGACCTAGAAGACATGGATTCTGTCAATTCCAGATGGTAATCAAATTGTCTTTTGCAGTAAGTAAATGGCACAAGATGCCAGGCAGTTGCCAGAGAACATGACCAACACCTGTGTGCTGTAATTTAGCTTTCTAAGAACATGTGGTGATATTACACACCAGAAGTTTTACTTTTGCAAATACCCCTGTTTTGACACTGTCTCACCACTAAACCCAATTAAGATATTCAGATCAGGATCAAGTGGATGTTTCCCACAGGCATTTTTCTAACACAAATCTGTAAAATAAAACTGTTTGCCTATATCATGTGAAATATCTCCCTATCAAACAATAAATATCCTGTCTAGGGAAGGAAACTGTACCAAATCCCTTTATAGTTCTGCCTGCCTTTTCACTGTTGTAGCAATGCTTGCAGTCTCATTCATTTCCATGGGCGCAGGCTCTACTTCCTGGTACGCAGAAATAACAGAGATGCTGCCCATTGCTTACGATTACTACGTTTGTCTCAGAAATTGTTAGGCCAGTTGTGACCCCATGGATTATTTTCATCAAACCTTTGAATTAATTCCTGGCCTGATCTTTGCTGAATATCTTATGAGACTGAGAAAGAAGAAAACAAGCTAAGCTGAGAAACTTTTAAGCCCAGTTTACTTTATGGTATTTAAGGTTGGCATGAAAAAACATTTTGCAGAAATAAAACAGCCTTCATGTATAACTCACAGGCAAGTGATTTCTGTAATTATTTTGATTTGGAGAACCTGGTTCCCTCCATAAACCATGTCTTATTGCATAAAATAACCTATCATGTTAAATAAACATGACCAATTTACTTGCTTTACTTTTCATTGATTATAATTGATCACAACATTTCAATCATTCATCTGACCTATTTTTCAATGTATTTTTTAATGCATAAGAAACAAATATTTTAACAAAAGTAATGCCAAACTAAATATTGTAAATATGGAATGGGATGGGTAGGAAGAGTTGTTTTTCTTTTTAATTTTTTCTGTGGGAGTAATTTCTGTTTGAAAGTGTGCATTTCAAATATGGGTGAAAGATAACCCTAATCATTAGTTATCAGTGAAAGATAACCCTAGTTATTAATAATGACAATTTTCATTTAGTCCAGGAAAGGAAAATTCATGCAGAAATATTTTGGAGCTTCCAGTACACTGTATTATCTTTCTTCAAATATGTGTTGCAAACATCTACTTTGTCTTGAAATGCAAGTATTTAAAAAGTATATGTCACATTTTAAGTCAATATTGTGATTCAACGTCCTAAAATAATTCCTGTAGACAGTAAAAATTAGGGAATGTATTAATGAACGGAAGAATGGAAAGGACAGTTTCATTCCCTGACAAGCTCAGGTTCCTTTTGTGGAAGATAGCCAGTAGGGATAATAACTTAGTGACAAAATAGAAAAAAGAAGTAATAATTCAAAAATTACCAGGCCATTAATCTTGTCTTTAAAAGAGAACAAACTAATTTATTTCAGAGAGGGTTAAACCTGAGGTGCAATTTATAATCTTTTTGATAGCCTTGTAATGTTGAAAGATTAATAATGTCATTCTGTATGATTCGTCTCTTAAACTTGAACTATTTTTGTGAAAAAAATGAAGTGGTGATGATATAAGGCAACAAGAAACCTTCGATTTGCTGTTCGTTTGTGGAAAGGTGAGAACCAAATACATGAGGGGCACCACTTTGTGAAAGAGAATGAGCAGCATTGCAAATGAAGATTCATTGTACTATCAAAATTTGGTAGTTGTCATTGAAGACATTAAATAGTTTGAGTCCAGTTGTCATACATGTCATCAGAAAATAAGCCAAATTAAGGAAGAAGAAGGGAAATTCCATGAGAATTTGTCAGATGTTCCCCCTCAGGGAGAACAGAGTTGCTTGGAGTTTTATCTGTAAGGTTCTGTTGTGTTACTGCACTGTCTCTGAACTTCCTCATTATCTTTTCCAGCTGTTGGCATTGGTTTCTAACCTAGGAAAACAGTGAAAAGAAAGAGTCTTCATTACATATAAAACTACACTGAACTTTTTACAGCTGCAGTCTTCCTTTAGTTGTTCATGTTTCTTAGAGACTCTTGGGAGCATTGACCTGGGGAACTGTCTTTATGGCCAGTCACTGGAGTTTGTCATGTACCTTCACTTATCCTTTGGAAGGTGTCTTACAAGAGCTGGTGAAGGGCTTAAAATAATGTAAAAGAGTCTGATCCTTTCCGCAAGCAAAAGCAGCGGAGGGCGTCTTTGCAGCAGTAATGTTAGACCTGGCTAAGTCCAAAGACGGACAGCATTTGTATTGCTTCTTCATATCTCTAGAGATTACTGTGGGGACTTTTTCCTGCATGCTGTGGATTGGGCAAATGGCACTTTTCATGATTCTGTTCCAACTTGGACACCCCTGGCATTCTCAGAAACTCCGACAAAATTGTGCTTAGGCAAAGTCTAATAAGTAGCACTCATGAGAACTACAAAACTTAACAGAATTCTGGTAGTTGTTTGGGCTACTATTAGCCAAATATACCGTATTGTCTCTATCTCTTGTGGTAACTGTTGACAAAAGTATAGTAACTACTATACTTTTTTTGATATTTACAGACATTCATATGCATTAAACTTCCCTACTAGATTTAGTAGATCTTTTAAAAGATTTCTCTCTGTGCACTATGAAAAACAACAGAAAATATTGTTTAGATGCTGCAGTAGTTTAACCTGGCAGCCTGCAACCAAGCACTAGACAGCAATTTGCTAACCCCTGCCTTTCCCCTCCAGCAGGGTGGGGAGGAGAAATGGATGAAAAGGGGAAACTCGTGGGTAGAGATAAAGGCAGTTTAATGAGACAGCAACAGGAGGAGTACTACTACTACTAAAGATAATGGTAATAATGGATATGCAAAACAAACTATACACAATACAGTTTTTCCCATCACTTGATGACTGATTTGCAGCCAGTCCCAGCGGTGATCATGGAATCCTGAAATCATGAATTTAATGAAATTCCCCCAAAAGTTTGAACTCCCAGACAAGAAAAGATTCCAACTCACGGAAATGAGAAGAGCTGATAAATCCCTGTCCCCCAGCCAACCCTCATTCATAAACTGAGCATGACATCTGTGATATTGGAATATTTCCATTGGCCAGCTTGGGCTATCTGTCTTGCTGTGCTCCCTCCCAGCTCCTGCACACCTACTCATCAGCTGAATATGAGAAACTGGAAAAAGTCCTTGATTTCATAGCAATAACTGAAACCATCAATATTATCAAAATTTTTCTCGTACTAAATCCAAAACACAGCAGCTACTGGGAGGAAAATTAGCTCTATCCCAACCAAAAGCAGGACAGATGCTTAAATATATCTTTTTTTAGGAAAATAAAAATGTGGCTATGTTTATAAGATAACAGTCATAAAATTCTACTGTTTGTATTAATTTGTTGCATGTACTGCTGGGGAGACTCTCCTACAGTTTACTGGAACTCCCTCCAGATTCTGCATGTGAATTCAATGTTTGTGACAAACTTTACAACATTGCAATGTTTTCGTTTTGTTTTTAGATAGAAGTGATGCAGCTGAGCTTCCTATAAAATTCATTCCTCGGTGTACTGGTCGCTACCACTGTCAGATTCTTCTGAAGTCCTCCTGCGATGTTCGTGTCTATGAGATTGAATGTGTAGTGAATGCAGACCATGCTGAAGCAGAGCTTGAATTTCGAACTCCAGCTTACCAGGCAGTGATTCAGGATATTCCAATAGTAAGTTCACTTTACTACTAGAAACTAAACTAAGATTCAGGATTTTTAAATTGGACTCGGGATCAATACTGTTAAAATTTACAGTGGTAAAAAGCACAAGTGCATCTAAATATTGACTTGAGTATGATTACTCAAAGTCCATACCGGACATAAGATAAAGCTTGTTGGGAAAAATAGTTTCTGGCAGTTCTTAAAGTAAATTATTAGTTTGCTGGGCTTATTTCTAATGCTTCATTTCTGTTCTTGCAATTGTTAATCTGTTATTTAATAATGCTATCACACTGAAAGTGAAAAAAGGAGTTGTTTAATCTAGGGAATAAATGTATTGTTTCTGAAAAAAGGAGGGGTGTTGAGGAGTAAAATAGAATAACTAGATTACATACAATTTAAAAAACATGGAAAGCATAAGCAAGAAATATATATAGTTTTGTCATATCTATTTTGTATACGAAACTCTTGATACATGAGAATTAAGACCAGGGAGTGAAGATGGAGTGTAGGCTGGAATATGATCTCCCTCAGAAAATTATTGCTCAAAATTTAAAGAACTTTTCAGATTTAAAAGAAAAAAAAAAAAGAAAAAAATGATAGGGAAGGAGCTTCAACTGCAAGAGAAAGGGTAAAGATTATTTAAGAGTTAAAGATAATGAAATATTTCCTGAGATTTGAACCACGGTTTGGTCTGTGCACTTGATGTAATCTTTTGATATTAGAGCCACTGAAGAATACTAGTGAGTTAATTTATAGAAAAATTACTCTGAGATTTTGTAGACAGGAGAGTGGGGGCAGATTCAAGCAAGGAGACTTAATGTCTGGGGAAAGACTATGCTGTCAATGCCCTGTGAAATACTGAAAGTAGACAAGGAACAAGTATATTAAGAAAAAAAAAAGTAAAGAAAATGAAAGGAAATAATATTACAGTGCTATCTTTTCTTACATATAAATTTTAAGATGGTTATATATTGGCTTATTGAATGTTATATTAGCTGAAAAACAGCTGTTGTATAACACAGAAAGGTAAAGGGTTTCCACTTAGTTTAAGCAGAGAGTTTCTAAGCAGATTGGCTTTAGATTTTTTTTTTTCCATTTTTTAGCGTACCTAAGTATATGCTTTTAAATTTCATGCAGGAGTCATGTTTTTATCCTTTTAGGTCCTGCTTGTTTTCTTTGCAAGTAAATAAAAAGTACCCCAGTTGGAGTATATACTCTGTATGTGTTTGAGAGAGAGGGCATGTGTGTCTCTGTCAGTCTGTCTCTTTCTATGGAATGCATAGACATGGTCACAAAGTCTGCTCTAAATGTTATGCCCTAAATTTGCAAACTAAAATGTTGATGAACAAACAAATATAAAAGTGTGAAGTTATTCCTATCCTTTTACATCTTAAGCTTAATTTTGTGATTGCGCATTATGTTTTCTCACAAGGTTTCTTTCATGTTGAGTATAAGAAATGTGTTTTGTTCTGGTAAGGAATTAGGTTACATTTTTATATACATTCATTCTAGCTGGAGCTTCTGCATCTATCAGAAATTTTTCCATACTTTCATGTTGTTAGTTAGCACTGTTATATTTGTCATTCAAATTACTGAACTTTGAAATACTCTATGGAGGAAGACAGACACTCGTGGAGAGTGAAACAGAGGTATGGCATTATTCAATCTGTTAAACTTGGTTTCTTGAACCTAATATTTATTATTCAAAGTGCCTTTTGCAGATGCTAGCAAACTAACTGTCATAACATCTGTGTTAAACTGTCATTACATCTTTGTAAATGGAGGAAATAGAATGGTCAAGTGATTTGCTTAAAGCCACACAGTGAATTAGTGACAGAACCAGAATAAGAATCCACCCGAGTCTGAAATCTGTGATTGTTTTTTGTGTGGGAGCTGAGGCTGAGCATCTGAAGTTTCCATACTTCTCAAAAGCATGAGATGAATGTAATTGGTCCATCATTTACTTTCAGCCTCTCCAGTGAAAGAGACCCAGGTCCTGTACAAGCAGACTTATTGTCTACCTCAGATTTAACCAGCTACTATCCTGTGAAAAGATTCTACCTCCCTTTGAATTAATTTAATTTCTCATTGAATTAACAGGCTTTGGATAAGATTTCACATTAAGCAGAGATCCTATAAGAATTACATGATTAAGTAATTAAAACTGTTTCTTAATGCAGAAGCTCAAGGGAGTAGAATTTAACAAAAATTTTATTTTTATTTTCTAATGTTTGTGGATGACCTAAATATCTTGCTTTAGAAGATATTTTTACACAAATTCATGCTGTATTAGAGGGATTTGTTACAGAAGAATTTCAAAGTGATTGTGTTTGTCAATTACATTTCTCCAGCTGACAAGTTTTTGTGTTCGAGATTAAGAAGAAATACTTACTGGTGTAATCGTCACTAGTGTGGATAAAGGAAGCATCTGATACCAGTGGCACTAGAAATCATTGAAAATAGAACAACTTAAGCTGCCAAATTTTGCCTATCCTTCACTTTTCCTTACCAAAGAACAACCACGGTGATGTTTTTCCTCTATCCCACTTTTTAAACAGTAGATTAGCAAAGGGTGATGACCTGCCAGTTTTAAAACTGGTCAAGCTGGTTTTCAAAAGGGTAAAGTTTTTCCTGATGTTGTGGAGAAAAAAAGTGTGAGAATAAAAATAATCTTTTGGTGCTTTTTTCCCCCTTTGTTTTTTTATTCAGCATGAGGATACGAGTTAATTTTTTGTTGTTTTCTACCAGAGGTGACGTAACTGTTGTTATTACAGAATCGGAGACCATAGTGATGGAACTATTTTGAAAAAGTGAGGCACCATACGAATCTCAACATTCCAAACAAGAATTTGTGCTCAACTGCTAGGAAATTTGCTTCTTAACAACTAATAATTAAGCATTAATCATACATATTAATCAAACCCTATATATATGATACTGCAGGTCTCATGCCATGCTATGGAGTTAGGTCTGATGACCACAGGTGGTGGTTCTTTGTTTCTGAGATTGAGATAGCTGAGCTTCAGAGACTTTCAAAGAAGGAAACGAAGATTGAGGTGCCATCTCTATTCCCCCAAATCCATTGTTTATCTCTGACATTAATATACAGTTTTCTGTGGATGAATACAATTTTGGGTCAAAGGATCACTTCTGCTTTTCATAGATCAGATCAATCTTCTCTGTTTTGACAAGGCAGGTATTAGCTCTTGAATGCCATTTTATTTTCTTTTTTCATTTGAATATTAACTTTTTTGCAGACTGTATGTTTTGTCATCTGGTTCCTTCAAATAGTAGGAGGCTGGATAGCATTATGTTAGTTTTACTACTTTTATGCAGTACCCAAGCATGTATTGCAAAGTATCTCACTGTCTACCATAATCAAATAGTTCTGTGATGCGTCTGGATGCAAGACAAACATGTTTCTTAAATAGCTATTCGTACTACTCAGTACAGTCATTATTTAAAATAGATTAGTCTCTTGAAAGACCAGCTTCTGAGACCATGTAAATGCTCCTTTGGACACGGAGTCCTTAATTCGTAAGCAAGACTAATTCTGTAATACAGTCAGTAGCCAAATGAGGCAATATATGCCAGTACACCACATCAGCACTTCAAAGACGTACAGTAAGATTTTCTACAGATGGAAAAGGAGAGAATTTTGACAAGCATTAAACAGCACCAAAAATATACTTGTAAATGATTATAATGATACTTAGAATTTCCATCTTGACCATTAGCTATATAATGTATATTTTCTTCTAATGATTATTCCTGCTGACGGTATTGCTACCAATAGTATTAGTACCTGTACCTCTGGCTGCCAGGAATAAGGGACTTATTATTAGCTTAATTAATTTTTGAAATACACTGTTTTATTCTCCCCAAAGGTGCTCTGAGCCAGTATTTTGGGGAAATGAATATTGTGCTTTGATTTGATGATAACTACAAGTAAAAGCTGAAATGCATGTTAAAAGCTTTAAATTCATGATCTAATACATATCTTTACTTTGATTTCAGACTAACATGTCCAACCAGGACTGGAAACTTGAAGCAATTTTGGAAGGACTTGGTTTTTATGGCCCTCCTCTAATAAAAGTTGGTCTCGGTGAAACAGCTCTGTATCCTCTCATGTTCAAGCCTGTTGCTGAGTGCATAACAAAGGTAAGAGGGAAATTAGTTTCAACATTTGAAAAGGATGCTTCTGTTAATAAAATTTACATCAGCATCCACATTATGAAAGTGCTTAGGCAGTTACTAACAATAAGCTTCTGCTTGAAAGGTAAGAGGGAAATTATTTTCAACATTTGAAAAGGATGCTTCTGTCAATAAAATTTACATCAGCATCCACATTATGAAAGTGCTTAAGCAGTTACTAACAATAAGCTTCTGCTTGAGAGTCAGAAATTCAAAGGTTGCCTACTAGCTGAGGTAAAAAACACAAAGGAACTGACTTTGCAAAGCTGAAGATTAGGCATGATAGATTTCCCCACCACACTTTATTATCTCTTCCTTTATTTGCTCTTTTATCAAACCCTCAATTTTAAGAAAATGAACAGTTACTCTTTAGAGATTCTTAGCGTTGATTATAAAAATGTGTGTTGTGTTAGTCTGAATTTAAATACATATATTAAATTGTATTTCATTACCTAAATTTTAAAGTAGTAGCATTGAGTATTTTTCATTGCATGCTATATCACAAATGGATTAAATAATATGTGTTACAAGTTAAGTCACCACTTAGAAGCTGCTTTTGCCATCAGAGTAATCACTATTCTGAATGCTAAAATGAAAATCAGAGCAAAGGCTGTAACATTTATAGCAAAAAGCAGTATACATATTTTTGCCTGTATACTATCTTGTTATGTCAGGTTGCTATTCAAATGTGTAAACTGCCAAATACAAAAACAAATGTTTTAAGAAACATTTGCAATTCTTCTGCATGCATTACCAACTAAATATAATGTAGTTTAGGTATCTGGTATTATAAAACTATTAAAAATCAAAAGCCCTGAATCCTTTGACAACAAATAATTATGAAGAACATTTTAGTTAAAGGACAGATGGAAATGATTGAGCAAAGTCATATTTTCTAGGAGGAATGAGGATGCATGAGAACATATTTTCTCAGATATGTGTTTTCCAGGAAGAAGCCAAAAATTATAAAATCTAGAAGCATGAAGGCTTTATATTGTTAGATTTCATAGTTTAGAAAAATTAAAAGTAAGAGGTTTTGTGTCTTTACGTTTCCTTTCTATGTAACAGTAGAGTTTACTCAAGAACTAGAAAAGTCAATTGGAAGACTTTCTTGTAAGCATAGTTTGTTGCCTGAGTTTGAGATGAATACACTAAAGGAGTTGGTTTGGCAGCCAAAGGAGACTTCTAAGTGCTAAAACTTCTTTTTCTTCTTTCTTTGTCATAGGGAAGGCTTATTCTGCGAAATGATACAGCTGGCACTGAAAACATCTTTAGCCTTAAGGGAATAGGGAAGAAACCTCTGGCACAAGATCATATTGTGATAGATTGCCAAGTGAGAAAGGTCACTCGAAAAATTTTATGGGTGCCCAATTATACCAAGAACAAGTTAACGTACAAGGTAAATTTTTGCAATAATGTGACCACTATTTTTCTATCCAAGGGCCTACAAATTATGTCTTACGAGATCAAATATTATTGTAATTGCAGATATACTATTAAAATTCATGTATCCATGAGAAATTATATTAAACTATAGTTTATAGTATATGGATATGTTTGTAGTCAGGAAGTTTGTGAGATAGTTTATGATTTTACTGTATGTTCCATAGAAAAAGATTTCTTAGTTTTTCAGTCTGGTTCCTAAGGGGACAACACTTCTACAATTGTACTCTGTTCATGTTCTAGTCTTTCCTCCCTTTCTCCTCCACTGGGTTGAAACCAGTGGCCAGTTCCATCAGTTTTGAAGTCAGAGACAGGGCTTGAGAATTACAGGGTTGTTAAAATCTTCATAAAGCACTGGAATATTACAGGAAAAGGACAAAAATTATTATCCTATTAAGTGAAAGGTTGCAGCGTGAGCTCACTATATGTCTGTGCCTAATGGCCTGGCAGTCAGTGCTTGCATTTCTTGGAACAAGTAACAGCAGTTAGTGTCTTTTGCCCAGATGTTGTTTTAGAGGTGCTGGAGGAAGTTGGGAGTACTTTGTGTGTTTGCTGGTGGGAAAGAAAATTCAGAGGAAATAACAAACTGGGGTTGTTGAAGGGCAATGGGTCACAGGGGAGGTGGAGTAGGAGGTGCTGAGGTAGTTGTGATTTCAGTGGAGCGATGTAAGATATAAATTCTTAGAAAGTACACTTTTGTTAGTTCCCCTGCTCAAGAAGATCTTTTTACTATTAAATATAATCCTTATATTTTTCACTTTTTTAGTTACATATATTTTATAACTATATTCACACAAACACATTTTCCTATTTATAAGCACTGTTGTATTGCTGTAACTGCACAATTTTCCTACCATTGATCTTGTCTGCATGTTTAATTTGAAAGTAATGAAAATCTTTCAGTAATATTCCTCACCTTCCTTATCCATGTGTAGGACCCCATGTCGTATGCCAGCAGAGGTGTAATGTACAATAGGGCAAAACATATAACTTCTGCTTTATCTTCTTATCATAGAATTATAGGTTGGAAAAGACCTCTAAGGCCATCGAGTCCAACCATCCACCCAACACCACCATTCCTACTAAACCATATCCCGCAGTGCCACATCTACACGTGTTTTGAACACCTCCAGGGCTGGGGACTCAACCACCACCCTGAGCAGCCTGTTCCAATGCCTGACCACTCTTTCAGTAAAGAAATTTTTCCTAATAACTAATCTAAACCTCCCCTGATACACAGAATCACAGAATATTAGGGGTTGGAAGGGACCTCTGTGGATCATCTAGTCCAACCCTCCTGCCGAAGCAGGGTCACCTAAAGTAGGCTGCACAGGACCTTGTCCAGGTGGGTCTTGAGTATCTCCAGAGAAGGAGACTCCACAACCTCCCTGGGCAGCCTGTTCCAGTGCTCCATCACCCTCAGAGGGAAGAAGTTCTTCCTCGTGTTTAGACAGAACTTCCTCTGCTTCAGTTTGTGCCCGCTGCCCCTTGTCCTGTCGCTGGGCACCACTGAAAAGAGTCTGGTCCCATGTCCACTTGACACCCACCCTTTAGATATTTATAAGCATTTGTAAGGTCCCCTCTCAGCCTTCTCTTCTTCAGGCT